GGGGGGGGGGTGAGGTACACCCAGGACACTGCCTGGGGTCATTACCAACATCAGCAACCGGGAAAGCCGGCAGTGTGTGAAGCACCAGTGGTACCCAGCATACAGTCTTGTAATACAGCACTTCAGGCGACTGCAGGTCGCCCCGACGCCGTTAGCGTACCTTGCTAACTGAAACCTATGCCACCATGAGCAGCGCGCAGCCCCCTCCTCACAACGTTTAACTACAGTGAACATACTGCACGTTAGAGGGGAAGCGGCCCCCCAACAATAAAGGGGAGATAAAGAGAGACTGCGGACGGTCACTTTACCACAGGCAGCTCAGAGGACAGCTAAGGAGGGCTTGCTAAATTAGGCTAGATTATGTTAAATCACTGTGGGGCAAAAAACAGGCCGGGGGCCTCCTCCAGATCAGGACGGACATGGAAGCATCAAGGTGGCACCGTCCTCTGAGGTGAGATCGAGCCAGAAGCGAGACACAGAGGGTAAAGTAACCAGCCACTTCCTGTCAGGCTGAGGTGCGGCTGGGGGGCCTGAAGACCCCGGCTGTCCCAGCGTGATGTCAGGGCCCGACAAATCCATCTCTCTCCAGCCCCAGATCTAAGGCACCCCAGGCTCCCGTTCCAGTAAATATGAGGTCGACCATGGATTCCCCCCCCCCATACTTTTCAGACAATAAACCACGATATATGGTATTTTGACATTATTTTCAAAAGGAACAATATCGAAGGGCAAAGTTTATCATGGGGGACAACCCCCTCCCCCCCAGGGAATTTTTGTCACCAACTAGGGCTGTTTGGTTATGGCAAAAACCATAATAACAATTATATTGGTCAATATTGAGATGATACTACTACTACTTATAATTATTATTATAATAATAACAACAATTTATTAATTATTATTATTATTATTATTATTATTATTAATAATAATAATAATAATAATAATAATAATAATAATAATAATCCCTGTAGGGAAAGAGAATTTCCCCACAGTGATCAATAAAGTATCAATTATTATTATGAAATTCTCTTTAACCGTCCCCCAGAAAGGGGTGCACTGGGTGTATGACATAAGACAAAAATGGGAGCATCCTCGCGAAACGAAACGTGGTACAATTATCGTTTTATCTCAGTTATTTTCTTTTGATACTCGGTGGAATCCAGAATTGTAATAACAATTACACCCAAAATACAGCAGTATACGGTATTATCTGAATACAGGCCAAGGCTAGTTGCCCATTTGTTCAGGTGTAACTAAAGACACCGACCATCAGCACGTCTACAGTGCTGCATAAAATCAGCATAGCTATTAAAATAAAAAAAAAAGTAAACTCCAGTGAAGTGAATCTCCAACAAATGAGCGATCTGTGTGCCATGTGACCAGTCTCAGCACCACCCAAACTCTGTTCCCCTTTTTTAATAATAGATTCTGTCATGGACCGCTAACAAAGTGGGGGGCATTTAAACCTGTAAGCCCAGCCTCGAGTAAGCTGATGGGGGTGGTGAGAGCAGCCTGGTGGGAGACTGGCGCAGGTTGTGGTCTGGAGTCCCCCCCCCATGGGACTTACCATGATGAGGCCCGTGGTGATGGGCTCCGAGCAGCCATGACACAGCTCCCCGAACTTGGCCCAGTAGTCCTTCTTACAGAAGAGCCGGCCGTCCTTCTCATAGTACCAGTGAGATAGGGAGACACCACACTCACAGCATCTGGGAAGACAGAAGAGACAAGGAGTTAAGGAGAGAGGCGACCAGCGGCACCGACACGCAGCCGCGAAGGGCGGCGACCCGCAGCACCGACACGCTCAAGAAGAGCGCAGACTCTGCCCAAAACGCCACACATGACATTACTGACACGACTCATACATGCCAAACAGCACTGTGGAGGTGGGACTGTGTGGGACACGATTACGGCTGCTGCCTGGGGTCATTATCAACATCAGCACCCGGGAAAGCAGGCAGTAAACATGTCAATGGGCAATCCGGCGCTGCTCTGCAGGAGGTCCTGAAACCAGGGCGCCGGAGAGACGAGGGAATGAGGGCCCCGGAAACGTGGCAGACTAATCCTTTAATGGAAGATCTCACCGTCCGCTGGAGGGCTGGCTGGTCGATGAGTGACCTGCGGATATGTGGGGGTGTGCAGGTCACTGTGAAGTTGGCGTCTCTGTGGCCAATTCGCTAAACAAACTGCGGACCAAGGCCTTCTACCGCATGGTGCCTCTGTGGCTCCGACGTCCAAGAGACAGACTATGATAAATGACACCCCCCATCCCCCCCCAGGGCTGTTCGGATCGATGGTGTTGATCGCAGCAGTATCCGGCCAGCAGCTCACATCTGCCACTTGCATTCACAGGCCCCTGGGGCTGGTTTGCTGGCCACATCGACCCCCCCCCCCCAAAAAAAAGGAAAAGCCAGTCAA